GTAAAAGTTTTGTAATAAACTATTATAAAATTTTAGGTCTTGAGAACATTTATCARTCCAATCAGATTTAAACCTTATTTCACCAACCTAAGCTCATATCTACAACAGGTAAGATAGTATCTGTTTAAATGTTCAGAAACCTAAACTATCCCTTTAAATCTAAAAGCAAGAGGTTTGACTGACAGGTGGAGTGTGGGAAAGGTGATGTAGAAATCCYCAAAATAAAGACCACTCAGACCTAAAGTTGGACACAAAAAAAAACAAATCAACTAAAATCTATTTGTTATTCATCAACATCAGTATCTTTCTCTTGTGAGATTCAGATTTCTTTTCTTTCTTTCTTTTTCCCCCTCACCGCAGTTTGTTTTTCTTCCCTGAGACTTTTATTTTTAGGAGCACGATTTGTGCTACTCGGCGGCAGAAGGAAACAACACACATGACATTTGCTCTGTTGAAGAACAGAAGAAAGGAGCAGAGGAGGATGAAAAGGCAGCCTCTCGCTGCGTGTTTTAACAGCTGTGTGCGATGCGCTCAGTTGAACGTTCCAACTGTTTCATGTCAGAGAGGCTATACGGAAAGAAATCTGACAATGTAAAATGTCTGGTTAAGTTTTGTTTAGAAATAAAAGTTGAACTTGTGAAAAAGTAATTAGAAAAAAAATAGAATATTTTCATTGTAGCAACTTTTAAACTTTGGTTTTATTTAGGAATTTTAGCTCAACATCTCACAATCCTCTTTTATTCTTTCTTCCTAAAGCTGTTTTTAAGAGTTCATCTCATTTTATTTCCTTCTCTTGCTCTGCAATATTTTGTTCTTTGCCAAAAATCTTCTTTATTGTCCGTTTGCCCTCCAAGTTATGTTGTGTACCTTTTTTTGTCCTGCATTTTATTTTCTGATTTGCAAACCATGCGTATGTAAAAGATGTCAACTGAAGGCATAAAAATAAAACGAGAGAAGGCTGGGGTTTGGCATTCAGGGTCAGGTTCAGGGTAAATCCCAAAGCCTTGTAAATGCGAGGAGCCAAGAGAACGTAAACAGACTACAGCTGTCCCGGTCACACTGGGAGATGTGCGTGCACACAAAYGGATGGAAATCAGAAAAAGAACACAGAGGGAAGAAGTTGATGGAAGGAAGAAAGAGGAAGCAAATAAGACAGAAAGTGCGGATAGCGATGAACACACACAGACCTCCACTTTGTCACCTCATCCAASACCATCAAATCCACTCAACAAACAAACATCGTTAGGATGAACGATCAGTTTGCCATTAATTCCAGTCATACATCCTATAATTCCCCTCCTTCTTTTACCCACTTTTAATGCTCACAGAAATCCTCCTTTGCTTTGAATTCCTTCGTTCTCATGCCTAAATCTGACAAAACTGTAAGCGGTAATAGCTTTTACAGTGATATGACATGCACGGACCTCTTAAGGCATGATGGGGCCTTTATGTACAGGTTTAGCGGCTGACAGGTTAGCGGGTTTAGTTAACAGCCAACGTGCCTGCTGGTGCAGAGGGGGGATTTAGGAAAGGCTTAGAATTGAGAAGGCCACTGAAGTGGCAGCGAACTAAACAGAATTTCATGGAAGGAGGTTGGGATTGTGGGGCTTTKGAGTTGGTTAATGCTACTTTTAATGTGTGAAGAAAGTCAATCTTCAGATACCCATGCACCTATGAACTTGTAAACAGTGAGAGGGTTATACTGGGGTGGTTGGTWTTGGTGTTTTAAACATTTTTTTAATGATTGTGAAAGGTGATGATGTTTTTGCTTGTGTTTGTTTTCAAAAAGTAGCATTCTCACTCAAAGAGTTTAATGCAACTCTTRGGTTACATCTACAACTGATTAACCTTTGGAGTCAGTCTAATTGCTGGTGTCCATATCCAGCAGTCACTGTGCGACAGGTTGCAAGTCCATCCCATGGCCACACACAGAGACAAGACAACAGTTCACACTCTCACACCTAAGGACAATTTAGAGTTACCAARTAACCTAACATTCATGTTTTTGGTCTGTGGRAAGAACCTGGAGTGCTCGGAGAGAACATGCAAACTCTACCCAGAAAGGTCCCCGAGCTGGGAATTGAACTGGCGACTTTCTTGCTGAAAGGCATCAGCTCTACCAACTGAGCCACAGTGTCACCAATTTTACAGATATTGACAAAATATGGTGCGGCAGTAGCTGAGCTTCACTCACAACACGTCTGAGTGTGACGTGTTGAAATACTGTTAATTTATAAGTTTCACCAAAACAACAACTTCAGTATTTCTTGATATAAAATGATGGTTTGATGATATTAAAAKGCAGCAGGTGAGATGTATTCTTCAATTTCTATTTTTTTTTTTCGTATTTATTTCTTGTGAATTTAGAGCTAAACTTGCCACAGTTTCACAAGAGCATAAAAATGTGTGTATTTTATTGAAAACTGTAAATTAGGTTGATGGATTGTAAATGATATCAGCTCATATACATGTTTTCTTGCAGACAAGAACTCAAAGTTCCGTTATCTAGACTAACACTGCTGCACTAAAATATCAGCGTGAGCATAGAAATAAAATAATGACTTTAATTATGCATGTATTAACTTATATTTAATAAAATAAAATAAATGTATTAAAGTATCCAGGGTCAATTGGTGAAACTCTATAAATGAGAGGCGTTTACCATTCATGTGTTTTTTTAATGTAATATTTGAATTTTGTTTGGTACATCTACAAAATCAGTTTGTTTTTTTTTTTGAAAACCTCAGTTTGCAATGTGATCGTTCAATCCCAAGCACACTGCAGCTCTTTTTTTAACGTGGCAGTTCAAAACATGCTATTGTTTGAAGCAGCCCAAAAGCTGCACTGGTGTGTGAGTGTGAGCCAGCTAAAGCACTGTTCTCATGGGATTGTGCTAAAGAGTTGTTTGTTTGTTACAGCTCCCCTGAACAGCCAAACCCAGTGAAGGAGAACCCATAATTCTTTGCTGTAAGGAGCTCCTCTGCACATCTTGTTGCATCAGAAGCCTGTGGTAGAGATGGAGGCTGCTTGTGCCATTATCTAATGCGACTTGTTCCAAATGACAACACAAATGCCCTGTAGCTACATTCTTGTCCGTTTTAGACATTTTATTCCTGATGAATATGATGTATATTCAGCAGCTGTCCCTAAAAGAGGCTGAATTTAAATTGAATCTCTTGTAAAAATCTGCCTCTTCTGTTCACAAGCCCTACACTCACTATCATCAACCACAAAGTGTCATTTGTCTGTTTCTCCTATACATCCCTTCCTTYTGTTTCTCCTGCAGTAGTCTTTTTATCGGATCAGTCTCAGGTCATCGCTTTTGCCTCTCGTGTTCCATTATGGAAAAGTTGCACAAACAAAAGGTAAAAAAAATTTAATAAATTTTAAAAAGCAATAAAAAGGGAAGATGTTTAGACAATAAAATCCAAAAATCGAAAGTAAGTTTTGGTGAAAAAGCAACGAGGCATATAAGAATATTAAGATTACAGAAAAATGGTGGTCAGTCATAATTAGACCCCAAAGCACACATCTTTGTCTGCTCATCTCCTTTTCTCATCTCCTAATTTGCTAGAGATCTGATGCAGCTTGTTGACATGTGTACGAGACGTCAACGCTCATGCTAAAAAGCTGCTTGTGTCTCTAGTAAAGTGTTTGTATATTTGTGCTTGGAGCTTTTACAACCCTTCTTCCACCCTCCATTTATCACACACACACACACACACACACACACACACACACACACACACACACGAGCATGCTCACACACTAATCAGATTCCCAGTGTGTAAGGGCCAAATGGCACCCTTCCACTGGTGAATGCTAATGTGACCAGTGGAGCCTGTGGACTTGTGAAACAAGGATAGCGAGAGCCAGGAGAGATGATGAC